GGGTTTCACGATGGTTACCCTCGCTCTACCTCACTCAGTGCATACGCCTGGATTCGTCTCTCCTTGGTCAGGTCTTGTGAGGAGGAAGAAGCAGCGGTCTGGCGGAATGTCATGCTCTTCGGTGTTCTGGAGATTGTCACAGGCATGCAGGTACCGGAGGCACTTCTCTTGTCACGCCGACCCGACGGAACCCTCGTCCTGACCAGTGCTAATGTGTCCAGGCTTCTGTCACATTGGCTGTTCGGAGCTGTACCTCTAACCGACGGTATCGATATACGTCAGTGGGTGGATTCTGCTGACAGGACGATCGAATGGGCTCTACACGCAATTGATGAGCGAATAATCGCCGAGAAAGCAAGGACAACTGGTGGAACGAAGCCCTCATTGCAACAGCCAGTCGCTGACTTCGCATTGTCCAGCTTGACTGTTCTTGCTCGACTGCTCCGTGAATTGGTCACCCTTGTTTCACGAACCACTGAGCAGTCAGTGGGAACTTCATCACTTGACCTTGCATCCCTCTTGGAACCCAGAGCCGTTCTCCACAGTGAGCAGTCTGGCGAAGTTGCTCCACTCGCAGTCCTCGCAACCTACCTAGAAATTATGGTGGCCAATGGTTGGTGTCCCTCCATGTGTAGGCCGAACCTGAGCCCCGAACGCATGGCGTACGCGTCAGCCTTAACCCCGCTGATTCGCCGCCCCCGAGAAGACCATACGCTGTGCACCATTCATGGATGCAAATCCCCGCATCTGATCGTCGATAATGCAACCTACAAGACCCAACATGTACGCAGTCGCCACTCATCCCTCTCTTTCCTCAAGCTCTCTTCCTGCCCATTCCTCTTACCCTCACTCGCTGACGTCTCCGAGCTCCTTGAGGCCGGGCAGTTACCGGTCATTGTGTATAATGGCCGTACACTCACAGTCCGTAACGCTGCAGACGGCCCATACATCGCAATCTCTCACGTCTGGGCCGACGGACTGGGAAGCACCACAGAGCAAGGGCTACCAGCTTGCCAGGTCGCACGCATATCAGACGTTGCATCCCGGCTTGTTCCAGGCAGTGGCGCGTTCTGGATCGATTCCCTCTGTATCCCTGGTAGTAACAAGGAACTGCGCAAGTGCGCAATCCGCCTCATGGCAGACACGTACCGGGGCGCTGCCAAAGTTGTGGTCCTCGACGCCGAGCTGGGTCGGCTCTCTACTTCCTCCACTCCACTCAAAGAGGTTGCATTGAGGATAGCGATGTCTGCGTGGATGCGGCGGATCTGGACTCTGCAGGAAGGACTGCTCTCTCGGGAACTCTATTTTGAGTTCGCTGATGGGATCTTTCCCTTCAAACGGGTCACAGACACGTGGTTCCACGCTCGGGAGCAGATACCATCGTCGCTTGGTCTCATCCGTGACCCCTTCCTGGAGATTTGCATGCCCGAGTCCACGAAGATGCTCAACCTCTTGCAGCCCGAGCATGATGGACTGGAGGTGCTCAAGTCGTATTCGTTGGAGTTCGTCCTCGCCCTGCTGGGAGATCGCAGCACCAGCAAGGCTGAAGACGAGACACCAGCGATAGCGGCGCTCGTCGGGGTCGACATCAAGAAGCTGCTTGCGGTGGAAGGCGCAGATGCTCGCATGAAAACCTTCTTGCTCGAGCTCAACACCAATAGGCTTCCCGCAGCGATCATCTTTGGCCACGGCCCAAAGCTCCAGATCCCCGGCTTCCGATGGGCACCGCGCACGTTTACGTCTCTTACAGTAGGGTTCCACTACGGCGGTGGAACAGGTATGGCCCATCTGACCCATGAAGGTCTGACCACGGAACAAAAGTTCCCTCTCGTCCGGTTTCACTCAGACTTGGAGGTTGGTAGATCAGACCAGCATCCGGACGGCGTTGTTGTTCACAACCCCACCACTGCCTCGACGTACGCTACGCGCTTTTTGCAACAGCCTGAGTCTGTCTACGGAGAGCCACGGCTTATGAATGGGTTGATAGTCAAAGATCTTCCACTGGAGCCTGAGTCCTCGACAGACCAGCCATCCAGGAAGCTGTTACACGCAGTCGCCGTCCGCGTCGTCGACCCAAATGCCGGCTCGGGCTATCAGCTAGAAGAAGACTCTGAAGAAAGGCCAGTTCTGTGCGAGTATCTGTTCCCCGTGTCCCTAACTCCTGTCGAATGGTCGGAGAATATCCTGGACTCTGGCCAACTCGAGACCGTTTTGGCCGGTGCTCGGGGGGTCGTAGTTGAGGCGAGCTTCACGTCGGCACTTCTTACTATCACTTGATGCTTCTGTAATAATGATTGCTAGGTAGTGATGCCTCCGAGTCGGGTACTACACAGTGCTGGTACATTCGGACAATCATGGACCCGGCGCCGTCACAGGCTCGTAGTACGATTGTACTATACTATTCACACGATATGATGTGCACACAACATGAGTAGTAGTAGTGTATGTCTCAGCTCCTACGCTATCAAAGTGCATTTGTGAGTCAATCATATTCAAGTCGCGTGCAAAGCACCAACTTGTTCCTGGTCAACGTTTCAACGGTTGCATGGGCGCTTGATTATACCCTCTTTTTTTTAACATGCAAGTCACTGGTCAGTCAGCTCTTGGCAAGATTCGTTGTGAGCTCTCCAAGTTGACGCTCCTGGTCCTATCTTAGTCAGAATTCAACTTGAATGCTTGGACCCAGTGGGTAATATGTGGAGGCCACTTCAGAATCGTGAGTGTGCCTGAATGGAGGTTTCTCATGGCACCCGACCATAGCGCAGTAAGACCACAGCGCATTACTGTGCGGCGGTCGGGTGCGATTGCGAGTTACAGTTTCACCGAGTCTTCCAACGTGACGTCATTGACGCACTGAGCTATTCCAGTTGATCAACCAGGCATCTAGTCATACGATCAACAATCTGGGAGCTGGCTGAAGCACTGTGCGGCCGCTGCATAGTACTTCTTGACCCCGATCGTACAAACGGGGATAATCTGAGACCGAAGATGGTCTTGGAATGCGAATGCGCACAGGCGGGTATAAGCATTGGTAAGGGGATGAGGTATATTGCCAACCAGAACGGCTTATCTAGTAGCGGTCCTCGTTCATCAAGTGACGAAGTCGAATCCGCCAGCAACGGCACCGGCTAAGTAGTACTACAAGTGGGCGGCGGACGCATCCTCCCGGCGGCCAGCTCCCCTATCGCGGTTGTTGATGTCCTCATTAACAGTAAGTAAGTACCTGCACGGAGTTACGCAAGGCCATATCGCGCTCATGATACACCAACCTGCAGCCTCTGTGTCAAGCCACTCATACAGACGATCCTCTCAGGACATTCTCAGCCTGTCTCACTGGGTGCTCAGGAGGACAGTGGTTGGCAGCTCCCTAATTAGACTTGAGAGGTATGAGAACAGTTTGAATTCCCTGAGAGAAGGGTGTGGGTTTTGGTGATGGCCCCCGCCCGCCCGCCGCCAGCGGCAGCACACCAAGCATTCCTCAGAGCTTCGTGGGCACGGCCTTCCCATCCTGACGCGCCCCTCAGGTGGCTATAGTAAACAATAGATCGCGCTCACTCAGCTCTTATCCACTCCGCATATGCAGCACTCGTTCATGCCATATGAGCGCGGTCGACTCTATTCATTTACCTTCTTCGACCACCTAGTCGTCTCAGCGTGCCACCACCCGGAGATAAGTAATCCTCGCAAGATTTCTTGCGCCCCTTCTGACCTCGGAACCGCGTGCAAGCTACCTGTCGTACTTGACACTAGGTCATCGTTGCGGAATTGACTACTCTAGGTTCAGAAGACCATATCACGGCTTTCATCGCGCGGAGAGTCGGAGCAGGCCGAGAACGCAGGCAGTTGGATACATAAAGCCGTCGGCATGCTATTCTTGGAAGCACTAGCCTCGCCGCTCGAGGCAGTGGACAAGCGGCATCTCTAGGCACCGGTCCTATTTCTGTCCAGTCTATAGCTAATGTCCGCTGGGGCACGAGCATCGTGCGCTCATCGTCTGACTCTATCCGCCTTCGACCCCAGCAGCACCGTCATCGTGGGAAGAATATTTCCGTCCTCGTACGTCACGTCTTACAATACACACACCAACCAGATACTTGTCCAGGTGCTATGATATAGTATTCGAGCTCAGTGTACGGATGCAACGTGCCCTCGGCTAGTCCTCTCCGTGTTCAACGTTCAACAGCACATCTCGCACGGGCAACCTGGATTACCACGATGTCAGAGAATTGGGGTTCCGAGGAAGCGCGGAAAGGACGTACAAATGATGTCTGCGCAGCATTCGCAACAGTCCTAGAATGCCACCGTCAATCTGGTGAACGCCGAGCCATTCGTATGGAGAGACTCACTTTGCAGCACTCTGCAGCGACGGCGGGGAAGATTCCGGTTAGCTCAGACCCTTGGAAACGCGCGGCGGTTGAGAGACTCACCGAAGCAGATGAAGCACTCGATTAATCCCAAGAAGCAGTCCTGACAAGTTCAGTCAGACGGCGTGGACGTTGCGGAGATAGACGGGTTAATTTGTACGCACCCGTCCAGCACCACCGCCGCGTAGACGTTCAGCAAGACCGCGCTTGCGCTGACACTCCTGTGTCTGGTTGCTCTGGCGAGTGGGCGGGTTCATCATGCCTGCCATCGTGTATTGGTCTCCGACTCATACATGAATAACGTGAGGCGTACTCATTTGAACAGCCTGAGGCTGGGCCGAGGTGGTCATCGCGGGCTTGGGAGCTTCCATGACGAAGGTGATATGTGGGATTGAGGGGGCGCAAAGTCGAGTGGGCGGAAAAGGGGTAGCAGAGAGAGTAGGGTTACGGGTAGAGGGATGCACGGTTTATATTTATACTGTGGCCATGCGCGCGGGCAGTGGGCATCCATCTGGGCGCGACTGACGCGTGAGGTCATGGCAGCCTGAAGAAGGACCTCCCTCAATCCTAAATATAAACCATTCCTCGGGGGCTCCCAAAGCTGAATGATATTGCTTACTAGAGCAAGTTATGCAAGGCAATATGGCCGAGCGGTCTAAGGCGCCAGAATCAGGTACAACCAATCTGGTCCGAAAGGGCGTGGGTTCGAATCCCACTGTTGTCAACCTTTTTTACTCGCTTCAGTTCCGAGTACATTACCTGCTGTTGATTATCACGACGGGCAAACCCCAGAACTAGAAATGTCCAGGCAATCCTATCAGTGAGACCTTTGGCACAAATATCCTGTACATATCTCGGCCCTGGTTTATACCAATTTTGAATTCTTCTTTGCACTCGGAATTGTCAACTTTCCGATGTCATAAGTGGCAGACTGAATCGCCTCGGAAAGGCAACACTCACCCATAATCTTTGTCTTCTGGTAAAATGATGACAACGAATGTGGACTGTTCAAACACCGGAAAGGAAGCTGACCTTTGTGGAAAACTTGTGACATTGGAAAGCTGACATTTCCAAGTGCAAAGAAGAATTCAAAATTGGTATTAACCAGGGCCGAGATATGTACAGGATATTTCTGCGAAAGATCTCACTGATAGGATTGCCTGGACATATCTAGTTCTGGGGTTTGCCCGTCGTGTATCTCATCTCAGCCTCCGGGTCCGCTCAAGTTCGACATGCAGCGACACAGTCTCACATAGATCACGGCATAAACATCGCTTCCATACTTCCACTAGCTTGGGGCGATACCATGGGACTACCATCCCGGGCTATGTGGTAGGTTCAACACAAACCCTAACACGGCACAGAGAGTCTCTTGGTATGGACTAGCACGTGTCAACATTCGCTTTCTTGAAGCAATAGACTGAGATTGCCTCAGACAACCCAGCGTTTGGCTAGTCGCACACTTTGAGAAGAAGTACTTCGAAACAATCCCGTACCCACGTCATACGCTCTCAGTCCGGTCAAGTTCAGAGCGGCAGAGGGTAACAAAAGAGTGATAGATTTCAGCCCATGAGGAGCGATCGTGGTAGTAAGTAGCGATAGCGATAGTGCTAGTCGAGTCGAGTCCATGCAAACTGTCCCAAAAAAAAAGTTCACACATACACCTCATACACACACACTGAGAGTAACACGGCTCAAGCGGTGAATATGCTGGTGGATTCGCTAAGGTCGGCGGCGGTGATGGTGAACTTGGGCGAGGCGTTGCCCGAGTCACCGAAGACTGCACAGAGAAAGAGAGAGAGAGAGAAGTGCATCAGTTGTGCGCCATGAACATGAACACACACGACGCGGGATGGTAACTCACGGACGATGATGTAGTCGTCGCGGGCCTCAACATCGGGGACCGTCACGTTGACGGCACCGTCAGTGATGCGGAAGTTCGACGCAAGGGGGTGCGCTACACCGCACAACAACAAAACAAAACAAGACAACCTTCGTCAGAACCACCGAACGCTCACGGAAAGCAAAACAGGACAACAATCACGTACCGACGTCGAGGTGCTCGTTCGTGTCGTCGTCCTGGACGTGGCCAAGGAGGATGAGGCCAGTCTGCAGCTTGTTCTCCTCAGGGATGTCGTCCGTCGACCAGGTGATGGTCTGCACGGAGCCGACGGTCCACGCGTCCCCGGCGACGGGGGCGGTGATGGGCGGGCGGAAGACGATGTCGACCTTGCTGCCCTGGGGGTTGAAGACAGCCGGCGCGGCGCACACCGCAGAGGCGGCGGCGGCGAGAATGGAGAAGGCGGCAACGAGCTTGGTGGCGGCGAACATGGCGGCTGGTATCGTTTTGTTAAGGAGTGAGGTGCCGGAGCAAAGAACGACTGCGAGACTACAGAGGAGGAGGAGGAGGAGGAGGAGGAGGACGGGGGGGGAAGTCGTGAAGGGACAGAGAGCACGGGCGACGATGGGAGGCCCTCGTATAGCCGAAAGGTGCGTTTATATACGTCTTCCGACGCCGCCGCGGTCTCGCGCGGTGCTAGCGCTGCTCGGGATAAGTAAGGTCATCTGCTGTAATACAACTTCCGTCGCATATGGTGTCATTAGCGGACGTCGTTTAGTGGGTCGTCCGCCGCCGCTTCCCGGAGAAGCGTTCACCGCGTCTGGTCTTCCCAGACCACGGATATGTGTGCTGTGAAGTCTCTTGAGCACTGGCCACCCCACATGGGTAGTGCTCACCTTGTTTGTTTGCATGTCACGGGCAGTCAATGAGCAGCTGCAGCAATGCGGCAAAATGAATGTCACCTGTTGAGTGGAGCAGCATTCTGATTCCACATCGGATAGCGGTGGCGGTGTTGGGGATAGCGTGGAGAACATTACAGCCAGCTACGCGTCTAACGCTAACACCCATCCGGTCGCAACGATCACTCTTTGAAACCCGAGATGCCGTCGCGCTGCACATTCATAATCGTCACGACTAATGGCAAGCCGGGGAACGAGTCCGAAGCTGGCCCGAATGGTGAAGCTGACTATGAAGATCGGATAATGGATGCATCATTGACAAGGACAATGACATGTGCGTGCATGAACTGATACTACTAGCTACTAGCATATACAGGTGTAAGAGGATGACGTTTGACTATTGTACAGTGCGTTACGATATATGTGCAACCTTGACTACTTGTGGGACGTGGGACAAAACTATCGACAGCGAACGGGACGTGAACTAACTTGTGGAGAGGATAGGTGCGGTGTGGCTTTCATAAATCCATACTAGCAGAAAGTGGGGTTCAATAGGGTTCAATAATCAATCTCCGGAAATAGCGCTGCGCAGACGGCGCATCACACATCACTTCCGAGCGCGGAAGAAGAAGATGCGCTTCGCGAGCGTGGTCGCATTGCGAGCAACGATGTTGGCCTCGCAAGTCGTTCACTACCTAGCCTGGCAATCTTGCGCGTCAAGCGCTGGCTGGTTGGGCTATTCGACATGTTCGAATCGTCGCTCGGGGGGTCGGAGTTGAATTCGATGTGGTGGACGCGCCGCAAGGCGGGGGACACCAGACGGTGCGGCGTTACTTGTCCAATGAGCGGATCATCGTCCGATGGTGGGAGATCGTCCACATCGTGCGGCGAAGCGACCATGATGGAGTCATCTATCGGGATGCATGAAGTAAGCAGATCGAACTTGACAACTTCACTACAGGAGGATTGGTTTACTTACCACTGCCAAAGAGTGGAGCATCACGGATGGAACGGAGCGGCGACGACATCTGCGCAGCTTCCTCACGCAACTCCCGTGCTCGGTTCATCCGCCGCCTCTTCGGCGTGTCGAGCCGCTGGAAGTCCGCCTGCTTGCCAAGGAGCTTAGTGGCTGAACGTGTACGCCTGAGTGTCGGTTGGGGAGCCTCCTCAGTGGCGGGCGCATCACCATCAACTTCAGTGGATGGGCCAGACTTAAGGCCGGGCCGACGACGTGTACGGGACACCGCATCGACAGAGGGCACCTCGACGGCGTCGAGGAAGACACCCTTACGTTTGCGCGAAGCCGGCGTAGGGGTGGTCTCTTTGGGCGCACTCTCAAACTGGGTGTCTGACGAACCCGAAGATGCGTCCCCATCGACCGGCTTCTCCAGCTCCGAAGACAGCTCCTCGGAGGCCGTCAAGCCGTCGTGTATGACCATATGGACCTGTACGTTGGTGAACGCCGACGGCGCAAGTGGCGATGTCTCGAGACGACCCTTCTTGAAGATCTTTTCTCCCAATGCAGATTCCTCTGAGTCTTCGTTCCGAGAACGCTTGCCTAAGATGGACTCGAGAAGCAGTGGCGATCGCGCGGCCAGACGCTCGGTGACAGACGACAGCATAGGCAAAGGAGAGGCGTTCTCCTTGTCCTTGCTCGAATGGGCCTTAGCAGGCGATCGTTTGGGCGTTGTAGGTACTCGGGCCGGAGACGACTCCGCCACACCAAGTTCCCTGGTAGGGGACGGGGAAGATACGTGCCTGCGAGGACTGGCCTTCGGTGTCGAGGGCGCAACACGGACGATTTCTGGTGACTTGACTGGAGAGAAGATAGCGGGCCTGAGTGTCGGTATCGACATCCGAGAAAGCGTCCCGGGTGAAGGCACAATGACAGAACCCTCGTCTTCGCTCTCATAGCTCTCGTCAACCGCATCGCTGACACCCGCATACTTGGTCACCGCTGGGGCGGACCATTCAGAGACGGGGCTGTCGAGGTCGTTACGAATCACAGTCATGTCCTCAACCTTCGCCTCATCTTCTTGCTCCTCGAGTCGCGCCTCAGCAACGGCGTCCAGGCACTGCAAGATGGGCTCGGAATATCCAGTTGGTGGCTCGGGGACCTCAGCGTATGTAGCCTGCCAGAACTCCGAGAATGCTTCAACAGCTCCAGCATGCCTATCTTTGCGTCCACAGAAAGGTGCGGCCAAGAGGGAACCCAGCGTCTCGAGCATCTTGACGTTGATGGGGAGTGACTGCATGCTCACAAGCACGGTTTGGTACAACGGAAGGATCTGGGCAACAGCTTCAGATAATGAGCGACGCTTGACCGAAGAAATGCACTTACGTCAGAAGAGTACTCGTCCTCGGAGCACACCTGGAAGTCGTCTGCAATCCAAGTGCGCAAGGCATCCAAGAACAGCTCCAGTACCGAGAAGCACAGCTCCACGGGACATCCATCGATGACTCGCGTGAGCGTTCGGATCAGCCACATGCACGTCATCTTGTGTCTCGGAGCCGGAGGATATGCAGCGTTGAGGGTATCGTTGGTAAACTCGAACACCTCCATCGGCACCTGGCGCGCATCGGCGATCTCTACGTTCGACAAAAGCAAGTCCGCCACGCGCACGGCAGATGTCGATGAGGGACTGTGGTTTGTCGCCACGACACCCGCAACCTGGTCGACGAGAGTGGTTGCGTCGATACCGTGGTCAAGAGCGGTGTCGATTGCGCGTCGCAAGAACGCGTCCCAAGCGTCGACGTCCTCGTTGGACATCTCCCAACCATTAGACTCGATGAAAGGTGCAGAAAGCAAAACGACAGCCATTCCCCAACTGCGGGAGCCTTCGGTGCCGCCGCTTGTCCACCGCTCGAGGAATGCCTGCCAGACAGCCGAGCAAACATCCGCGTCCCATTCGGACTCGCGCTGACCCTTGCGTAGCGAGTTCTCCCAGAAGGCCTGCACGACAGACACTTCACAGGCAAAGGCCG